GGTTTAGGGTTTAGGGTTAAGCCCTTGATGTAGCGGCCTTAATAATTAGAATAGGGTTTGGGGGCCCGTTATGCGAAAATTACAATAAGGACCCCCCAGGTAAGTCCCTAAACCCTAAACCCTAAACCCCAAGAAGTATAGGTCATTTGAAAAGGCCCCCTGTAGTAAACCACGAGAGCCTGCGGCCGGAAACCCGCTCGGGACAAAAATCCGAAACGGCAGCCCTAAACCCTATAAACCCTAAACCCTAAACTCTAAAATCCTAGACCCTAAACCCTAAAACCCTAAACCCTAAAACCCTAAACCCTAAAATTCTAAACCCTGAACCCTAAAACCCTAAACCCTAAATTCCCTAAAGGGCCATGGGGGCGGGACCAGACCGGCTGACTCGTCTTTGGGCAGACGCATGTCGATGCTATCTGCGGCCTGCTTCGGTTTAGGGTTTAGGGTTTAGGGTTTGGGGGTTTTGGGGTTTAGGGTTTAGGGGTTTAGGGTTCAGGGACTTATCTTGGAAACATGAAGACGAAGACAGAAACGGGTGGTGGCGGTGGCTTTTACTAGTGGTGGCGGTGTACTGCCGCTGCAGCAGCAGCTGCTGCTGCTGCTGAGGATGAGGATGGTGAAGAATATGACTATGATGACGATGATTTGATGGCAATGGTGGTGATGTTGGTGGTGGTGGTGGTGGTGATGGTGGTGATGATGATAATGACCTTGACGTTGATGTAGGTGATTCTGTTGTTGATGACGCTGGTGACAGCGATGGTCTGATGATAGTGTTGGCGATGGTGAAGATGAAGGCGATAACGACTGTGAAGACACGCATCCAAAGGGCGTAACCGGCAACAAAACTCCCGAAACGATTACGACGACAAAAACGAGCAGGACGAAATGTGCTACCAGTAACTGCAAAACTAACGACTACTAGCCACGACCACGACCACCACGACGATCACGACGACGACGACGACGAATGATCGGGGATGTGAGCACAGCGCACCGGTTACCTAAGCCCCAACCAAACTCAGCACCCTGGTAGACACCCTGCTCCACCCAGGACGTTGCCGGACTTTCGTACAAACAACGTTCAAAGGAGTGCCTCATGGAACTGAAAGTTCTCGGATGCGAAGCTGGCAGTGGGACCTCGCCAGCTTGAAATTCGGTGGCTTGTGGCTTGTTGGACGTACTTGTGATGCATTATGTGACGTAGTAGTCGTACGGGTTCCGTCTTCTAGCTCTATGGCTGTCAGCGGCTGCTGATATCTTGAGTTGTTCCTCCACCCAGCCGTTGATGATCAACCAGAAATCTTGGGTGGTGCTTTTCGCTGGCCGAGTGATTCTGTTGCTGCATGCGCTTGAGCAGCACACACACACACACACACATGTAACGAGGCGACATACATACATGCATGTACATACTTGCATAGACATGGACGTGTAAGTTACAATCTATCAACCTGCGTGGCAGCAAATGACATGCCAGAATGCTTCGCAGTCCTGCTACTTCTCACTTCTCAAACTTGAAAGCTACGGCTACGGGTCATTCTTTTGTGGGCTCCTGCAAGTAGACCCAATCCTGTGCCCAAGCGACCTAAAGTAGGAGATGCGGCTAGTATCCCCCCATGCCTCATACAGCGGGTCATGGTGTCTCAAGTAACAATACCTATGGATCAAGTTCGTTATAACAGTTATAATACCGAATGTTCCTTTGACAACTACAGTAAGTATTGTAACAATCGTGAAAAATACTAACAGGAATAACAACCACCAAAACATTAATAATAATAATAATAGTAGTAATAATAATAATAACAATCAAAATCCGAATCGCAATGGGATCTTGGAGGCATGGGCGACTGCCAGGCCCGGACAACGAGCTGCAAGCGAGCATGCCACTGCGGCTGCAAGGCAGCTTGCATCAAATTTAGGGCCGTTTAGGGTTTGGGGGTTTAGGTCTTTGGGGTTTCGGGTTTAGGGACCGGGTTTAGGGGTTTATATAGGTGTTTAGGGCTTCGGGTCTTAGGGACCGTATA